CATTGCTTTATTTACTAACATAATACTTTCTTGTCAAGAATCAAGATTGGTAGGGGCTGAATAGTAAAATAGACATCACAAAAACTTAACCAATTATGTTTTTCCTTAGACATTTAGACAGCTTTATTCTTATTCCAGCTACATATTATCTTTTTTAAGGGTGATTCACAGCTTAATATAGGAAATTACAATTTACAAGAATTCTAGGCAGAATTTAAACTCGGTCACCACTGTTCTAATGAGTATTATAAAGCAATAATCTATTTTTTAGGTCCAAGGATACAGCCAGAATATTAGATGGAGTGGAAGAGAACTAAAACATCAACTTAAATTAGTTAGAAGAATGTGTTTACTTTTTATATAAAGTACTCCAGATTTGTGCTCTCAGCTCTGTCTTCCTATTTATGCATGTGGAGACCTTAACAATTTAACAGAAAATCAAGAACTGAGTTACTACAGTAAACTCTTTTACTCCTTTAAATGGACGTGAATTTACTTTGAAACTCACCTTGAAAAGAGCATAAAGTTCCTCTAGCTCATCAATGGTAAAGGAAGTTTCTGTCACAATGGTTCGTACCTACAGAAATAATAAGCACAACAAGTTTTACAAACTCAAAAAGTGTCATATTGGAAAAGCCTCTAAGTTTCTTCCTTTAAATTATCTACAGTTCTGTCAAGCAGGAATTTATGAGCTGGCAGGAATGTGAGGCAGGATGAAGACAGAAGCCTACCCGTTGTTTCTCAAAGGACTTACCACGTTCCGTTTTGTAGTGTCCTCCAGTGTTTGGATCACTTTCAGTCTCTGTTTGAATCTCATCTGTTCAATCAAATCTGCTCGGATAGTTCCAAATTTCTGAAAAGGAGCAATATTGTTATTTCTAAAAAACTCTGCTAAAGCACACAGTGTCATGTCTGCAGGATGGTTGAAACATACTCTTGACACATGTAGGAAATGACTTGTCACATGACAGGCATCCTAGGTCATACCTTTATTTACTGTTTTAAAGTTATTTAGCTACCATAAATAAATATCTGGAAATTATCATGCATCTCAGCTGTTGAACTAAATTTTAGTCAAATGTGTCCTCTTCAAGTCAAGAGTTCTTCAAGAAGAAGAAAGGTTAAATAATGCCATCTGCGTATGAAAAAATGCTTTAAAGGAAGAATTTCCTTGACGAAAAGAAAGGAAATATCTAATCTAAGGCTAACCATTAGACTGGGAGGTTGGAAGAAGCCTCCAACCCTGTGTGAGGCTCCCTGCTCCTAATCTCTAGATGAACAGCATTTGTCCACCTGATCCAGAAATCCATGCTGTGTGTCTCCAGATGGTAGACACAGTGAGCCAGCCATCTCTTCAAACCCAATGCTAGCACTGCCTGAATGTTTACTGAAATAAATTTCAAAAGCCAAACAAGTCTTCTCATCTGAAGACAGAGAAAGAATACGTAAGGTTTTATATCTCTTAGTGATGCAAAAGAAAGATGAAGGGGCCGGCCCGGTGGCGCACTGGATAGTGC